CTGCAACTCCAGTTCTTTGATGAGGCATCACTGACAGGTGCAGTATCCATGAGAAAGAAAGGACTGCTGGTCCAAGTTAGCAATCAGAATGGCTACTAAGTGATGGACTGGATTCAGATTGAGACCAAGAATCCTGGGGGTATATATTTCTGCTCAGAAAACAGGTTATAACAAGGGACTAGTGGCCCACCTGGAATACATGCCAGTGGCACAAGCCAGCTAGCATATTTTACTTATTTTACTAGCTTTCTTCCAGAATAATCTTTTCCAGATTTAGTATCCAGAAATCAGGGGATTTCTAGTGACCCAAGATTAAGAGATGCTTGGCATCCCTGAAAAGAGAAGAGAAAGGAACCTTTTTATTTAGTTGTCTACACACTTGGCATTCAACATGGAAATTTTTGGCCGTAAGGCTCAACAGACAGTCAAAGAATAGCAAACCAATTTCTACTTTAATTATGAAATTTAAAAACTTTCCACTTCTCCCAACACTGGAAACTTCCACTCTGCATATTCTAGGGCAGTTCAACAATTATCAGTGTTTAAATGCTTGTTTGTCCTGTTTACTGAGATGGCAGGACAATCCAGAAGGTATTCTGGGCATGGGGATAGAGATTTATTCTATTTATTTAACAAAATTTAAATACTGCTTGCCTGTAAGAAAACCTCTAAGTGGTTTAAAGGGAGCTCTGACCGTTAGGTCCAGTCACGGACGACTCGGGGGTTGCGGCGCTCATCTCGCTTTACTGGCCTCTAAGTGGTTTACGTAAGTATAAAATAAAGCATTAAACCTCAGTATAAGAACAGTTAAAATGGGTATTTAAAAACATGTAGAAGACTATCATAATCAACACTAGTAAAAAAGAGAGAAGATGCTTATGTAGCTTCTACATGTCTTAATAGGACTGCCACAACAAAAATGTTTTAAGCAGATGGTGAAAATTACAGTGAAGGTACCTGCCTGATGTCAAGCAGGCAGGGAGTTTCAAAGTATAGGTGCTGCTACACAGGAAGAACAATTTCTTCTAAGTATTGAACAAGTATGGGATGCGGGTGGCGCTGTGGGTAAAAGCCTCAGCGCCTAGGGCTTGCCGATCGAAAGGTCAGCGGTTCGAATCCCCGCGGCGGGGTGCGCTCCCGTTGCTCGGTCCCAGCGCCTGCCAACCTAGCAGTTTGAAAGCACCCCCAGGTGCAAGTAGATAAATAGGGACCGCTAACTGGCGGGAAGGTAAACGGCATTTCCGTGTGCTGCGCTGGCTCGCCAGATGCAGCTTTGTCACACTGGCCACGTGACCCGGAAATGTCTCCGGACAGCGCTGGCCCCCGGCCTCTTGAGTGAGATGGGCGCACAACCCCAGAGTCTGTCAAAACTGGCCCGTACGGGCAGGGGTACCTTTACCTTTACCTTTATTGAACAAGTATTATGTGGCACCATTAACGCTGCCAGTTCTGCAGATCAAAGCAGTTGAGGGAGCATATATGGAGTAAAGTGATCTTGCAAGTAAAATGGCCCCAAGCTGTTAAGGGCTTTATATCCTAATAGTACGTAATTTCTCGAACTTGGCCTGGTAGCAAATGGGCAACTGGTGCAGAACTCAGAGCAAGGGTGTTATATGCAGACAGGGTTTCATTCCTGTCAGTAACTGTGCAGTACAGTAACTAATTGCAGCTTCTGGTTCAAGTGCATGGGAAGCCCCACAAAGACTGCATTGCAGTAATCCCATCTTGAAGTCACCAATGCTTGAACTACTGTGGCCAAGCTATCCTGGTTCAGGATTGGCTGTTGGTGTCACCCTAGCTGCATGTAGTAAAGGGCATTTCTAGCAAATGAGGCTACCTGGGCCTCCACTGGCAGAACAGGTTCCAGAAGCACCCCCAAACTGTGTATCTGCTCCTTCAGAGAGAGCACATCATGGGAAAGCAGTTGACTAATTTCTTGGACGAAAGAATCGCTCATCCACAGTATTTCTGTCATGCCAGGATTCAAGCTTAACATATTTTCCTTCACCCATCCTACCACTGGATCCAGGCACCAGTCCATGGCCCACACCACCTGCCGTGATGCAGGTCTGATGGAGAAATAGAGTGAAGTGTCATTAGGATACTGATAACTCATTGCCCACAAACTCCTAATGATCGCTCCAAGTAGGTTCATGTAAATATTCAATATCACTGGGGAAAGAATAGTGTCATCCTGCTTCATGTAAGTGCAAAGGGCCACAAAGCACTCTCCCAAAAAGCATTGTCCTGTAGGTAGGGCAGGAACCATTGGAATACAGTGCCCTCCAATTCCCATTTGACAGTGTCAGTCCAGTAGGATACCATTGTCAATGATACTGAAAGTCGCAAACAGAGCGAGAAGCAAAAGCAAAGTTGCACTCCCCTTGTCCCACTCTTCGAAAAGGTTATCCATCAGGGCAACCAAGACACAATCCCATGGCCAGGCCTGAACCCAGATTGAAACAGACCTAAATAATCCATGACATCCAATAATGCTTGTAGCTGCCCTACCAGAATTCTCTTCACCACATTCCCCAATAAAGGTAGTTGCAACTGGTTGATATTCTAGTCCAAGGGGTTCAGGCCTGGAGTAGACACCATCCCCTTAAAGACTTCAGTGCCAACCACACTCTGGCCCCAAACAGTCAAACCCCCTCTGCTAGCTTTAATAAGCCAGGAGGGACAGGGATCAAGAGGATACATGGTCAGGCATATAGCCAGCACCTTGTCTACATCAGCAGACTGCATCAGCTGAAACTGATCTCACAACACATCACTGACTATGGCATTGGGTATTTCATCTAGAACTGCAATAACTGCAGAATTAAGGTCACTCTGAAGTCAAGTGACTTTATCCTCAAAATATATAGCCAGTTGGTCACAGTAGGTCCTCTAATGCTCCAGAGGTCCTTCCCCCTCTGTGGAAGTCAGGAACCTCCAGAATGTTTGAAATAATTCCACTGGCCAGTGACTAGTGAATGCAATGCAAGCTGTGAATGAGCCTTCTTTGCAACTTGCATGCACTGCCACACGGCTGGCACAGTTACTGGACTAACCAGCGTTCAGTTAGCTTCAGAGTGAGACTTGTGTCACTTGCACTCTAGTCTTCATTCTGCTTGCTTCATAGCCCAAAGCTCTCTAGAATACCAAGGAACTGCCCTGGCTCCACAACGCCATAGAAGATGCTCAGGAGCGATCATGTCAACCACTCATTTCATCTCACTACTCCATAGTGAAACCAGGGCATCAACAGGATTGTCCAGAGTGTTTAGGAATTCCTCAAGAATTCAGGAACTCCTCAAATTCCATTAGTCTCTGAGAGTGGGCCATCCAAACAGGCCTACTTTACTACTAATTACTACTAATGTTCCAACCATGACAAGGGACTGAATTGCATCCCCACCACCACCAAAAAAAAGTTTGATCTATCCCTCATATCACTTGGGCTAAAGACAACATCAAGAGTGTGCCCTGCCTGATGTGTTGGACCAATGACCATTTAAATCAGTCCCATGGTGGCTTTGCCACTGGGCTACAGGGCAGTTGATAGACCAGCTACATTTCCAGTCAGCCACTCAACTCCAGCTATACTTTCCCCTACCCATCACCACTGAAACTGGGGGAACATATTGACAACTCCTTCCTACCTGCCCATCCAGACACATCCTGGCACCATCATCCAATGTCACACTATACAGCTGGGCAATTAGGGCCACAGATAATAAACAAAGGTCCAGTAGTGGGCACATCCCACACTTTCAGGTGGAAGGTAGTAACTTCATAACAACTCTCCTTATGCTGTCTCTCACTCAGAGGGAACCCACCAAACAAAGTTTCTCCTCCTCCTGGCTTTCACAGGCCTGCTTTCCACATTCTCATTTTCAGTGTCCTAGAATCATAGAATTGTAGAGTTTGAAGGAACCCTGAGTGTCATCTAGTCCAACCCCCCTGCAATGCAGGAATCATAGCTGAGAAATCCTTAACAAATCCTTGACCATCCAACCTCTGAGGTAGTCAATTCTACTGTCGAACAGCTCTTACCACCAGAAAGTTCTTTCTCATGTTTAGACAGAATCTCCCTTCCTGTAATTTGAATCCACTGCTTTGGGTCCCACCCCCTGGAACAGCAAAAAACAAGTTTGTTCCATCTTCCATGCAACAGCCCTTCAGATATGTGAAGATGGCTATCATATCACCTCTCAATCTTCACTTCTCCAGGCTAAACATACCCAACTCCCTCAACCATTCCTCATAGGGCTTTGGGGATACCCTGCCACAGTTGATCCTACTGCACACATCAGATTCTGCATCTGCACTCCAGCTATATCCACTCAACTAGCATTCAAACAGTACCACTCACTGCAATCAGCACAAACACCTGAAGGCAGAGATCTAACAGGACAAAAACTGCGTAGTCATCCTGTAGATTTACTCTCCTGCTGATGAAGCAGCCGCCTATATAAAGATGCTTGCCAATCCTACCTATCCCCCCCCCAACATCTCCATTCCTTCCCCATTAACGCCTTACACCAAGAGTAGGCAAGTGTTTTGGGTCCCACCCCACATGCTAGCTTTGACAAGTAGGGAGAGCAACCCACCTGCCACACACATGACATTCTTATGGTATCACATGATTGTTCCACCCTCCTGTCAAAATCTTTTGTGGGGTTTCCAAGCACTTGCTGCTGCTGAAGGAAGCCACAGAGAAGCCTGCATTTTCAAATGCAGCCAGCGGTCCAGGGCTGATGCAGCATGTTCCAACTGTCCCTCCGCAGCTCACTTCCCTTCATCATACAGTACTATAATTCACAGTGCCACCTATCTATGCCCAATCAAACTTCAGGGTGATGGCATTCTTGCATATTTATGATATGTAAGCTATACTAAACTGTATTTATTATTTTCTCAATAAAACTGCTTTCTGAATAAAAACCTGTAAATGGCATTACAGACAGCAGGAAATTGTGATTTATTTCTGCCTTAAATGCTTGTTTCCTTACCTTCTTAGTCGCCTTTCTCCAATCTGTTATCCTCCAAAAGCTTCAGACTACAACTTCTTTCATTCTTGACTGTTGGTCATGCTGACGGGGGCAGATGGGAGTGAATTCAAAACACTGGAGGGCACACCAGGCTGAGGAAAGCTGTTCAATGCCGTTAAACCCAGACTTACAGCAGAAGTCTAACCATGTCTACTCAGAAATAAGTTCAATTGACTTCAATGAAGCTTACGTTCAGGTAAGTTGGGTTAAGACTATAGCCTTACTTTTTTTTGCAAGTGGCCCATACTTTGTATTCTGAACGAAAGCCTATGCTGAAGTTTCATATAATTTAACTTTGTCAAGAATTTCCACCCAGAAGCTAGTGGGTTCCTCTCCCTCTCTGTTTTCCTAGGCACAGAGAGAAACTGCCACTCACACCAACAATTCAGCTTTGTACTGGTAGCATTGCAGTCTAGGCTGCACTCATCCAAGACAGCTGGAAAAGTGCTTAGCAACCCTTTTGCCCCCTCTACAGATGCCTTGAGATTGCTGACTGAACAGTGAGAAATCTGGAACTATTAACTTTACAGAGTTGCATTTTCTCACCTCATTTGCCAGTCATATCAACACTTTCCTGTCTGGCACCCAAATACATTTTCAGTGTGCAAAACTAAAACACCTGCGGATGAACAGATGGCCCTGCAACACTAAGACTATCAGACACTATGCCCATGAGAGAGTAAGAGTCATATCATTGTACACCAACAAACGATGGCACCAAGGCCAACAAGGCAGTGCTAAGTCATAACAAAATCTACCACACCATCCATTCTGCCAAGGACAAAGTCTCCTGAAGAGATCAGAACCAGGCTTCAGAGCAAGTTCCAAGGGCATCATGTCAGGTTCCCTTTATCCTTGGAAAAGGTTCCAGTTTAACAACAACATGGGTTAAAAAATAAGATGAAAACACTTATTAAAATTCCTGCCTCTTAAAATCTTAAATCTAGCCACTGGAAGCCAGCCCCCAAAAGGGTGATTTCCCAATGCTTCTCAAAAGTGCTGAAGCTTGCTCAATCTCAGAATAATAGAATTTCCAAATTAATGCTACAACCACCAAGCACACCTTGCTTCCAAACATTCAAGAGGGCCTTCTTGGCTGCTCTAAGATGTATCTTTATATTTTAAGATTACAGAAAATGTGAGGAGTCGGATATGTCTACTTATTTCAGAGTGAAGAAAGGAGAGAATCTCGAAAGGGTTAACTTCAGGCAGAGGTGCCTCCAACAATAATTTGTCAGTCTTTAAGAATAGTGGCCATTTTTTCACAAGCATGAATTTAAAACTCATCCAGAATAACAGAACAAGTGAGGATTAGAATCTAGACCACACTTTACAGAGCAGTTGCTAGAAACCCCATCATTAAAGAGGAAAAACAAGACAATGTCATAGGAACCTATTTTTTTCACAAGGAAGTTGAAAGATCTGTGTAGAAACTTCTCTATGAGTCATTCATGAAGAAGGAACAAAGGCTTTCTATAGAAATCTAGAGATTTTTCCTGTGGAAATTTTAGCATGCTTACATCTAGGGGAAATTTTTGATAGTGAATACTTTAAATATATCTATATATATAAATAAAGAAATGCATATTCAAGCCAACAATTCAAAAATTGCTATTCTGGTAATAAGGGGTTTGGGGAGTTCCTTCATGCAACAAAGTGGGTTTGATGAAGACCCCCTCAAGTCTGAAGCATTTAATTGCAGTATTACAAAAGACAGGTCCAAACCTCCTTCAATCAGAGCGGTCTATAAATCTTGCCTCTTCAGAAGTAAGATTACTTTAGATAACACTGTGAGGATTAAAAACTGAGCAAACAACAGGAGACAATTCTGTTAATGATTTTCACAGGGATTAGTAAGGCATAATAGCTCTCCCACATTTCTCAGGGCAGTGTATTTTTTCCTCCCCTCCCCCTCCCAAAAAAGACATCAATCACTGTTACTGGTTTTTGAGTCCAAAACAAGAAATATGTTGGAATTGATGGATTTTCAAAAGGTATTAAGAAAGAGTTGCCAAGAAAAGCAACTTCACCTGTCATAAAAGCGAACACAGAATGAAGTGGCAGCAAAAATGGCAGGATCTCACTAGCCTGTACTTGTCTTCAGAAATCTCAGATTTTTCAACTATATATATATATAAACATTTACAAATCAAATAAAAAATGATGTAATACTATGCTGGGAGGATGGGGCAGTAGAGAAGACAACAAAAGGCTTTGCTCCTACTAATGTTCAACATCTGTATCAGTATGACATTTATCACCACTTGGGACTCTCATTTACTCACCAACCCTGCCAAACCCCACACTGTCTTGACAACTCCCATATCCTTACAGCTCCTTCACCCCAACACCCCCATATACCCATCACAACCCACCCCGTTTCCAAACTCTATCTCACAGTTTGTCCAAAACTCGTGCCTCCTCCAACATTTCACCCTAGTCTCAAGATCCCCCATGACTGTCAATCACAGAGAAGAGGGGCATGAAGAGAAGAGAGCTTTCCCCTCTTTCAGCATGCACCGCTTTCACTGGCAGAAGAAAGCGTGCATTTATAAATGGACACTTCTTTCTGGTGGCAGTGAACTAAGGAGAGAATGTTTTCAACCTGTAGCAGCAGTGGCGACAATGACCGGGAGCACCCCTTCAGCTTGTCTCCCCTCATTGTCCACGCATGAAACCAAGCTAGGAGGCAGAGGGTGGCAGCAGCAACAACAGAAGGGACATGGGAAAGCCCACCTGGGCCACCCACCTACCCACTTGCTTGCTCTGCTAGCCTGTTTACTCGTGCTACTGACCTGCCTGCTTTGGTCACTCACTTTGCCCGCTGTTGCTGTGTTGCAATTTATGTGGTTGCCAACTGGCAGTCACACAAACTGCAGTGTGAAAAACTTTTTCGTACATGGGAAGATATAAAATGCCCCTACTCGGAAGCATCTGTTAAAAATAGGTTTGGTTGCTCCTGAAAGCTAGTATCTTATTTCCTATTTTAAAGCAACACAAAAGGCCCGTGAGAAAGTTTTCCTGCCAGGGTGTAACCCTATCTGTACATCTGAAGAGCAGCATCTCTTCCCAGTAAGCTCTCTTGCCAGCATCAAGGCCACATGTGGAAAACAGACTGAAGCTTTTTTGTCAATAAATACAAATAAGACCATGGTCAAATAATCAACTAAGAAATGGAATGAATGTGGGAACAGACTGTGATATAGTTATACTAAGAGTGAAGACAGCAAGACGACTCTTGGGGTTCCTTCCAACTCTATAAGTCTAAGATTAATTGGTTAGATTTATATCCTTTTATTTCCCCAAGAAATGCAGATCAGAATACCAGATGTTTTGGTAGTGGTGTTTTAAGTAAGAAATTATTTTTAAGGGCCTTGAGAAGTCATTTCAAGAGCAGCAAAGGCTTTTCCAGAGAGGGCAGCTCTGAACTTTGACAAATGGATGCTTTTCTCTTTGGTAGACTTTTAGCATGCCTCAGTTATATGGTCTTTGCCCAGCTAAATTCACCACAGATGTTGACCATTTGACTGGGCATCTGTTCCTGCACTCTGCATGCTTCTTGAAGACTGTACACCACCAGGGCAGTGTTTCTGAACTGAAAATGCTAATCCTCTCAAAGGATGGGAAAGGACTGCAAAAAGGGCTTTATCTTGCAGATTGTTTTGTTTCAGATACGAACAAAATTCCAGCTGTGAAAAGTACGGATAGGACTTTCTCTAGTATGTGGCAACTAAAGAGGAATTGAAAGGGCGAGTCTTACTCCCAATGCCTTGATAGAGTTGATGGTTGGGTACTAAAAATTTTGGTCAACAGAAGGGATAAACATGTCACAGTCATCTTTGAACGATGGGCATTGTACATGCACAGATCCTATTTATGGGTTGGCACAGAGAGACACTTAAAAGAATAGCAGCTGCAAGTAACTGCATCACTATTGTAAATTTCTATCCCATGTCCTTCTCCAAGGAATGGTGGCTTCAAAAAAAAATTAAAATAGTGAAATCAGAATAGGTCTATTGAAATTAATGGACCCAATTCAGTCATGTTTCAGTGGATCTACTCTGAAGAAAACTCAGTTGAATAACACCCATTGCTTAAAAAAACAGAATGTAATGTAAACCTCCAAAGCCTCAAAGATAATCAGTTTTCAATTGTGCCCAGCATCTGTATACTACTGAATATTTTGATGACTTTGCTGTATGCACTATACAGCAGTTTTCACAACAATGGCAATATCTCTAAGTATCATAATTGATGTTTCATCAGCATTTTCACCTTAATAGCTCTACTTGACCTGTGAAACTGCTCTGTGGGAACAACAATTTCCTGCTGCGTCTGTTTGGAATGTTATGCTGCTTTTCAATTTTAGATTTTAATGCTCAGTCTCTAAAAGAAGAAAGACAGTACATTGCCAACACCTAAAATCCTACAACATCTTCCACATTAAAATGACCATATTATGAGTCACTGCTGGCAGAGTTCAGCTACTTAGAAAGAGAAATGCCAGTGCTTTACTTTAATAGCATATTATTACCAGGTGCTCAAATATAATCTGCTTCGGGAAGAAACTGTTATATTAATGTTGCATGCTCACCAAAAAGTTCAGAAAATCACACTGCAGGGTTTCATTTCATTCGGGTGAGATGGAACACAGCTGATCTGTGTCTCTGAACAAAGGCAGAGCCTATTGAAAGCAGACTCAGCAGAAACCCGATGCTGATATACTGAGCTTAATTAACACAGTTGCTTTGAAAGATTCAGGGCAGTGGCATGTTGAACTACCTTCCATGAGAATTTTCATAACAAAACACACACCACTTATTCATGATCCTGCAGCTCAAACAAACAGAACTGAGAATAGATCAGAGGCCACTCACACGTCTCCAGCCTAGATCTCTGTAACCCCCACACAGCGTCTCCGTTTCCAAATGCTAAGAAAACAGAAATTAAGGTCTTACTGACTCCAAGCAATATATTGTTCCTACATTACAGAACCCTAAACATCCTCTTGCCTGCACACTGGCCGCAGTATATTAAAACCATGAAAAACAGCAACTCACCCGCCAGGAGAATTCAGCAGAATGCCTGCAGCAACTGAAAGGAGCATGTGACTTTTGTGTACTTCTCTATCGCTCCGCCTCTGCCTCTGCCACCTGCTCAGAGTGTTTATGGAATTGCTGGCCAAGAAAATAGCACAGCTACTGCTTCATGACTGCACTCAAATTCCTTGCCCTTTCTCAGTACAGTTTTAGAAGAGGGTTGTACATGAAGCACTAATTAAGCCAGGGGAAGCAGGGAGTCCCCAGAAAATTCACTGGTGGTGATTCAGTAATTCAGACCCATGTCATGATCAGGGTGCAGGAGGCTTCCTTTGAATTGAGGCAGTGGCCACCCACAGTGACCCAGAGCATATAAGCCAGTTTTGCTCCCCCACCCCCACCCCAACATACACACTTTTTCATTCATGTTTACAAAGTTCCTGAAAAGAGCTTTTGAAATAAAAATCAGAAAAGTAAAACAGGCGGAAGCTGTTCTTTTGCCATGGAATTGACACAGTCACTACACCACTCCCTGCTATTATGCCAAATGTAGGTAATACAGAGAAGATAAGCAAGCAGGTTTCAGAATGAGCTCTCCCTCTTTGAACAGGGTGTTAGAACTTGTAAATCTCCCATGACTACCAACTAGAAACAAGAAGGGAATGTAGTTTTCTGAACCAGACCAATGACCACAAACACAACCAGAATTATCATTCATCCCATACCTACTCTTCACTGAAAAGCCTCCTGATGTTTATTGTTAAAGATACCTTAATTGCAAGGCTCTGAATATCTAATGCTTTCGAGATCTTCACACACACACACACACACACACACACACACACACAGTGTGTCTTTTAATGTCACCTCATTAGAGAATCAAAAATCTTTAACCAACTGACTAATCTAGGGCAGAGGTTGTCAAAGTGTGGCCATTGGGCATACTTGCTGAATCTGATGGGAACTGTAGTGCAAAACATCTGTAAAGCCACTGGTTAGCCACCCTAATCAAGATGGGGTTTTTTATTTTTAAAAAAGACAACAGGGCAAATTACCACTAAAATCTCTCTAATTTCACAATATCATTAAATAATCTTGTATCAAACATATTGCCAGCAAGTAATTTTAACCACCTCTCTCTAAGTCTCTCTTTCCATGCCAGAAAAACAATAATCCTACCCTCAGTAGGAATGAGAAGTTAAACCATTCTAACTCATGATATATCTAGAACACATGAACACACACACTACTATAACTCATATTTTACACACGCGCACACGCACACACGCGCACACACACACGTTTCCCAATCTTGCCTTTTCTCATGGAGATGGATAAAGCAGGTGCTAACCTGCATGCCATTCCTAAAGTTCTTCAAAATCACCTTGACTCATCAGACTGAGGCAGATAAAGGATTCAAGACGTAGCTGAACTGGCACACACTGACCACCCTGCACCCAGCTTTTGCAGAAACTAGTGGATCCAAATGTGCTGTTCTAGCCAACTCCTTTTTCCTGGCCAAAACTGGTAAGTCTGCCCAGCAATAATTATATGGATCTTCCTAACCATATTCCTTCACCTACAATGGTTTATTTTATTGACCGATTGCATTTATATCCCACCTTTGTCTCCAAGGAGTTCAAGGCGGCATACATGGCTCCCCCAACCACCCTCATCATTTTATCCCCACAACAAGCTTGGGGTGTAGGTTAGGCTAAGATACAGTGAGTGGCCCAAGATCACACACTGAGCTTTATGACCGAGTGGGGATTTGAACCCTGGTCTCCTAGGTCCTAGTCCAACACTCTAAGCACCACCACACCCCATACACAATTTAAACATGAACACACAGAGCATCTGCCAGGTTGCAGGGTTAGTTTCTGGGTGTGAAGGGTGCAGATGGCTTCCCATTTGCTGCTTCATGGAAGCACATGATGTGTAGAAGAAATGCAGTCACACACTGTTTAGTGCACAGGGAAGCCGTCCTCTCGCAGGCAGCACTTGCATTTGGCCTTGGGCTCCAAGTGCACTGAGTGGTCTCTACATCTTGCCACCTGCATGCACAAACAATAGGCAGCACAGTGCCCTCTGTCGTCTAAATTGCTTATACTCTTGTTACTGAGTGAACTATACTACATGTGCATCTTTTAAAAAAACCTGCATTACAAGAGCCATTCACAATCAATCCTGTGTATTTGTTGCAACACAAGTATATTTTCAAAACTGGTAATTCGCCTTAAGAGTAAAAGGGTAAGGTAAAGGTAAAGCATTTTGTTACTCTCCCAAACACAAAGCAATCCGAGCACACTAAATATCACTGCTTCTCAACCAGTTCAGAAATTCATTCTTCTCCCCTCCTGTTGCCCACTGGTGAATAGGAATATTTGGATTTTACTCTTCATCCCCAGCAAAAAGGCAACAGCAGGGTCACTGTTCCTACTCTGGAAGTGCTTGCAGTGGTATGACAGGGATTTTGTATCCCCATTTCAGGCTTTTGTTTTTACAGAGGGTGTGATCCATGCACAAAACCTGTTCTATCATGAGGATCACTTCTTGAAGGAATCTGCCTTGTGATTACAGTGTAACAAAGGGCACTCTAAAAGTTTGGCATTTTCTTTACAAAAGCAATAAAATAAACAATCGTTTCACAATCAGTATCAAGCTACATATACATATTTAAAAGGAAGGCGTCTGTTTATTTTTTTGCTACTTGCCCTTTACTCTAAAGTCCCTGGGCAGGTTACAACCATAAAAATATACAATTATAAAAAAGTAAAACAGTTATAAACATAAAGCAAGATAAGTAAAAACACTTCCACAAATTAAAAACAGTTTCAAGATAGTTCTAATACAGATGCATTCATTTTACAGCAACTATAGAAGTGAAATCTATTGTACCCTGCCCCTAGGATGTGGGGATGAAAGGCAGGTTGAATACCCTTAATAAATAATAATTCTTCCTTCTTCTAATAAAATATGACAAGTCCAATGAAGATGCAATGGTGATATTAAATTATAGAAATAAATCTTCTGCAATAAACAGTTATGTTACCATCAGAAAGTTAAAGATTAAAGTAAATGTAAGAGTGAGTTTAAGATTCCATTTTGGATATACATTATATTATTTTTGCTGTTATCTGGACTATGTTCTTGTATTTTATTGTTGGACCTTATTATGAATTATCAATGGACTAATTTTAATGCATATTTGCTAACATGATTTTTTTCGTTAGCCTCTTGTTTATATGACTATTTAAATTGTGTTATGTATTGTAATTGTTAGTGAATTATCTTACATAAACTTTTTGATGTGAGACATTTTGAGGATGGTTCAGCATGGGAAAGTGGCATACAAATAAATAATGGTGGCGATAATAAACAGAAAGCTACTTGGGATTTCGCTTAGGTTTCAGATGCTCCACTTCATTCCAGCTAATCTCCATATACCACAAAACAATGACAATGGTCCATGCTAGTTCTTTCAGCACACCACTGGGTCAGCATAGGCGAGACAAGGAGATCACATTGCACAAAATTCCAGGAAACATAGTAGCTCCTCCATTTGCTCAAACATTAATTTACAACCTTTAGCTTTACTGAACTGGCAGTGTGGGAATGCCTTAAATATGAACAGATGAGTTTGCAGAAGAGCACAAACAAAACCACTATAATTTTCTGTCCTCATTTCTAAAAGGCTACACAGAGGGTGGAGTTGTGCATTATATCAAACCTGGTAAAGCCAGGAAAATACATAACTTATACCTGGTACTAAGAAACAACAGCCTTGTCTTAACCAAGGTAACTAGGCTTGTGAATCAGTCAGCTAAGCCTTCCAAAGATAGGCAGTGACAGTATTTACAAACTATATGTGAATCCTTTTCATGCAGCAGAATTGCACAGAAAGGTATTCAACTAGGTTTCAATGAAAGTAGACCCATTAAAATTAGCTGACTTTATACAGTCATGTTCATTAATTTCAATGGGTCTACTCTGAGCGAAACTTAGTTAATTACCACCCATATCATTTAATGAACAGGATTTGGAACAATTTCAGGGACTAACAGTATTTTACAAAAACACAGGAAAGCATCAGTGTCTAACATGCACTCATTTAAATGCTAATAATTCTTCTTTTTCACAGAGGGAGTGCTGTAAGATACAGAGAATAAACTACCAAACATGAGTAGAATTTAGCAGCATGCTACCCACAACTCCAACTCACACTCTAACTCTAACTAAAGCACAGATTAAAACAGAAGGTTAATATACATTCTCTCGTTTATTACTGTATTTCACAGATAACACTGAGAGATATCGTGTTCATTTATATTTGTCAGCTGTTCAAACAATAAGAAGTACTATTATCACATGCAGAATATGAAACCAACAGAATCTGAAAACAACCCCCACATCCATTGCTGGGACTTTCCAGAGTATAATCCAATATATAATCAAATATACCTAGAACCCCCAAACTGAGATTTTAAGAGCAGGTTACCTCTTTTGTCCAAATTTCTCCGTTCACCTGTTGGTGAAAGCCAACCTGTCGTTACCATGTCAGCATGAAGGAAGTCCCAAGTGGAAAGAAACTGCAAGAGAGCAAAACATGTTTCAACTCCATGCATAAAAGGCACCAAAAAAAGGTTGCAATCTGAAGCATGTGTGAAGAAAAATGTACCGAACTGGGCTTCATTCCAAACAAGTAAACAGAGCTTTAGGATTTGCTTTAGATAAACAGAGAGATACACACACAGAGGGATAAGGAACCTGTGGCCCTCCAGATACTCTTGGATTACATTTTGCATCATCAACAACCACACTGGTTGTGGCTGATGGTAGATGGAGTCCAACAACATCTGGAGGCCCACAAACTCCCCCATCCTAAGCCCAGAAAGTCATATTCTGGCTACATAGCTACGCTTTTCTTGTGCACTTAGATGGATGCTTATTAAGGATCTAGTTGTAGTGCTGAAGAGCTCTTAAGGCAGTGGTTTTCAACCAGTGTGCCATGGCACCCTGGGGTGCCTTGAATGATGGTTGGGGGGTGTCACGGGCAACACTGGCCTCTGTCCCTCTTCCCTCTTACGTCTATGCCTTCCCTTATTCCCTCCTCTGATTCCCTCTTACGTCTATGCCTCCCAAAGGCATGTGTGGCTGTTTGTTGCAGCAGCCCTGGCTACAAGCTCCAGAGGTGATGGTGCCTCTGGGGCTGGCCAGGGGGTGCTTCCCAGGCCCCTATGGGGCAGTGTGAAGAGGCACCTCTCTTTGGGGCAGGGGAGCACCTCAGAGACCAGGGGCAGCAGCTGCGGCAGCCCAGAGGACTTCCAAGGAGAGGGGCGAGGAGAGGAGAGGAGGGAACATTTCAAGTGTGGTGCAGCAGGTAATAGTTGGGTGTCAGAATAAGACCTAGGAAATGTGGCCTCAATTCCCTGTTCATCAATGAAGCTCACTTGTTAGCTCTGAACTCTACTCACACAACTCTCTAAGTTTCAGCTGTCTCACAGGATTGTTATTAGGATAGAACAGGAGAGGAGAGAAGTATGTTCTCAGCTCCTTAGAGAGACAAAAGAAATATAAAAATACCTAAAAGTAAACATAAAGTATGGGTCCCCTCTTATCACAAGAGAGAAAACAAGGACCCTTGCCCTACACCTCCCAAATTGTGAACAAAACCAAAGTTTATATGCGTTTTCTATCCCTCAGTGCTCAATGTTGTTTTCCATTGTCTTAGTTCATGGACAGAATGAGCTAAGGTGCATATTAAGGAGAGGTTTTGAGCATTCACTGTTGATGCTGGGGAGAAAGAAGTTAAAGAACCCTTTGACCTTGTCCACTGACTCACTCCCTTGTGATAAGTTTCAGACAATGACGCTGGCCCTTCATTGCTCAATTCAAAATATGGTTCCTGTTAGTGGTATTTTCTGTCATGCAAAGCTTGAGAATGACCTTCTTACTAGGCCAGGAGTGAGAAACTTGTTAGTCTACCAAACACTCTTGGACTATAACTCCCACTATCTTTGATCACTGACCATGTTGGATGGGGTTGATTTGGAAGGCCCACAGATCCTCCCGTCTAGCTCTTGTGTACTACCCGGGACAGGTTGGGGTTGTGCAGAGTTGTTAAGGCAGCAGAGAGCATTGTTGGCTGCCCACTCTCCACCTTAGAGCAGATTTATGCCACAAGGTGCCATAGGAAGGCACTGGACATAGTAAAAGATCCATCGCATCCTGGTCACTGTCTCTTCAAGCTCCTGCCGTCGGGACGGAGATACAGGACGATGAAGACAAGAACAAGCCGTCTTAAGAACAGCTTCTTCCCCAGAGCGATCTCGGCCCTGAATGGGAAGCCTGGACTTTGAAAGTCATCTAATCTTCCTTGCTGTTTTATACTGTATTGTTTTAATTAGTGTTTTTATAGTTGATTTGATTTTGTGTGGAGTGCCCTACCTGGGTGGATGGAGCAGCCAAGTAATTTCGTTGTCCCCGAGAGGGGGCAATGACAATAAAGATATTATTATTATTATTATTATTATTATTATTATTATTATTATGTAGCTAAATAACTTTTAAGGTATTTGCTCAATTTCTTTTGATGGCTGGTGGCTACCATAAAGCCACTAGAATGTTTGCATCACATCCTATGTTCCTGTGTGGGAACCAAAAAGTCAGGTATACAGTGGTACCTCTAGTTGTGGACACGATCCATTCCGGGGAGTCGTTCACACCCAAAAAGTCTGCAACTAGAGTGGCGTTTCTGTGCAAGCGCAGAGCGCAATAGAGCGCTTCTGCATGTGCGTGTGTGGCAAAACTCGGAAGTATACACTTCCAGGTTTGCCGCGTTCACCAGCCAAAAAGACGCAACACAACACAAGGTATGACTGCAGTAGTTTAAATATACTGTATCCAGGAAAAGAGGAAGTTGAGTCCTTGCAGCTGTCTGGTAAGAAATAGTATCAGAAGTCTGCTGTTGCTTTGGGGGACTGATTGATGCTGTGTTAAGGCTAGCATTATCACATTGCTGTCCAGTCTGCCTTATAGCTTCCTCCCCATGCTAATTTTGCATGCATGTAACAGATAAGTATCATGGACACGTTGTAAATCTGAACAAACATCTCCAAGCATCATGTGAATCTGTCTCAACTTTAATAAAAGCTTTGGGCAAGGGTGGGGAACCTTTTTCGCCAACCTGCAGGCCACCTTTGACAGATTTAACAGGACAACCCACTTGCCAATTCCATGATGTCAATATTGGTAATGGGAGAGTCCTTTGCTCCAAGCAAAGGAGTAATCAGGAGCTTACAGGTTGAGCTCCTCAATGTTCATTTGAAGGCATGTCTGTACCAGCCCAACACCTAATGTCACACATAGGCCAGGTGTGGGTGGTTTGGACGTGTCCTCAAGGACCAAACTGGGTCTGGGACTCTGTGCTGGGCCCAGTTTGGCCCACAGATGGGAGCTTCACCATCTTTGGTTTAGGGATTTTTCACACCAAAACCAGAAGCAAACCAGAGCATTTTGAAAGACTCTACACCATGACAAATATGAGCCTTTTACTTTAATAAAATTCAGGAAGGAGCAACTATCAAAGACAGCATTTTCTTCAAAACCTTTTTAACATCATGGAATTGCAGAGTTGGAAGGGACCACAAGGGTCATCTAATCCAACCCCCTGCAATGCAGGAATCTTTCACCCAACATGGGGCTCAAACCCACAACAGTGAGATTAAGAGTCTCATGATCTACCGGCAGAGCTATCCCTGAAGAACTTTAGCAAGGATAATTTTATCACTATTCCAACTGTCAAATAATAAAGGGCAATAACTAATGTTCTTTTAAAACATCTCTTTCCATAAAAAAGGTTATTTAGAATCAAATATCATAATCAGGAATGCATTTTATTTAGTCCACTCAGTACTCTAAATTTATCTTGAATATCAGGCTAAGATAAAACTATATCAGGATAAGAACAGAGTGAAGCACAAATCTACTCTTCTGTCTCTTCCTATCACTTTTGTTGACAGCTGTTCTTTGATGTTTTCTTCCTCTGTGGCTTAGTAGTATGACTGTTTGCCAGCACATGCTTCCACTTTCCTTCATCCTTCTCAAGACCCCATCAAAGCAATGCAGCCCACTACACTACTAAAAAGAGGATAACCAGCTTGGCAGAGGTGGCAGATCATGGTTGCTCTCTCTGGGCAGCATGCTAGGAAGGACTGGTCTTCATGGTGCCACGGGGGGGGGGGGATAAGCTGCCCCCCTCAGCTTGTTTGTTCTTTTCTCATTGTCCCTCTTGTCACCACAATAGGGAAAATAAGGGTTGGAGTCCCTGGCCCCAATTCCCATTGACGTGCCACCCAGAGAGAGAGGATAAGGCAACAATTCCATGCAGGGCCAGCTGACTTTAACCATTCTGGGTTCCCAAGTAGTGAGGATTGGGTAAAACCTACAGTACTGCACCCCCTAGAGAGGGCAAGAGGGTTGAGGTGATAGCTCAGAAAGTGTTGCAGAGCCTCCTCCTTCCCAACACAGCAGGCAAGCAACTCCTGCCAGGATAGCCACTATTTTCTCTGGGCATCTCGGTTGGCTCAACTTCTCTCCGCAGTGCCATCTACAGAGGAGAGTGGGCAAAGGCAACAGCAGCTACCTTCACTCTTTGACTGGGTGGTGCACCTCCCTACAGGCAGCGTCAGCCGGTCCCCGCCACTGCCTCTCACTTCCCTACTTTGCTGGGAAAGGTAGTAGCATCAGCTGCCCTTTTGCCATCTGAGTGGGAAGGGGGAAGGGTGAGGAGGGGATACTGCTGCCACTCCCTTGGGGGACACACCAGGCAAAGGGGACTGGGCCCAGCAAGTCCAATCCTCACCCTCTCTACTTCCAATGTAGAGGGAAGAGGGCAAGCAAGCAAGGAGAGGAAGCAGCGGATCATGCAACGCCACGGGGCCCGATCCTCCACAGCATGCTACAAGCACGCCCGATCCGCCACTCGCTTTGGTGGGTGGGGCAGGGTGAGCGGCTGGATTTTGGAGAATGGGGGTTTGTTGTTGGGGGCGAGTTGCCCAGGGAGTAGCATAACCTAGAACTGGGCTGGAGAGAAGGGAATGAAAAGCTAAGATGTAGACTTTCCTTTTTTGTTTTCTTCCCCCCTCCTTCCAAGTGGGGTGGGGGACGGGAGGAAGGGGCAAGCGAGCACCAGCTGTCCTGTGCCGTGTGCCCCCAAAGCCTCAGAGGGGGAAGGGGGGGTGCTGGTGTCACCGGGCAAGGCACGCAGCCAGGCAACGGGGCCAAGCTCAGCTGCAGCCGACCTGGAGCAGCGGCCACTGGGCATCCCGGAGGCGGACAGGCCTCGGCAGATACCCCAGAGCACCGACAACCCCCCCCAGCCCCCACCTCGCGAGCTGCCCCGCGCCACACAGAACTCCCCCCGTCCCTTCTCCGCCCTAGAAACGCCGCCCGCTTCCCCCGCCACCTCACCTGCCGGCCACGAAGGATGCGCGCTCCCCGGCCGCCCTCGGCGCAGAACTTTTGTCATGAGAAACCCCAACCCGGCCCGACAACCACAGCAATCTCTCTCTCTCCTTTTTTTTGTCCCCGCCCACCCTCTCGCTCGCGTCACGCGCGCTGGGCCTGGCGTCACCTCGCATCGCCACCCCCGTTGGCCAGTCAGAGGCGCGAGGGAGGTATTAGCATATCGCCACGACGACGGCCCAAGCCCGTTCCCGCCCCTCCTTGAGGAGAGAAGGTTCTCTCTCGTCAGCAAAGGAGGCCAACCCTGTGGCTGGCTACCTCCTGCCCCGGTGGCCGTCGAGTGGCAGCGGGTTCTTCCATGGAAGCGGCCGTCCAAAGGCGGAGAGTCCCTCAAGTGCTGGCTGGGCGCCTGTCTCCGACATCGGACAGGCGGATGCATTCAGGGTCAGGGACTTTCTGCATCTGGAGAAGGCACCACTGAGGCTATTGCAACCCATTGAAGGTGCTCTTATTCCGTGGAATAAGCCCCACTGAACTCAAGGGGGTATATGAGCATCTGATTTGCATGCAGGAGGTGCCAGGTTCAATCCCCAGTCATGGGCATAGCCTGGATTTAAATTTTTTTTTGGGGGGGGTACGGACACAGAATCGAGCTTTTATTAAAATTTATTTACTTGATTTAGGGGGGCAGCTGCCCTAGCTATGCCCATGTCCCCAGTGAAGGATGCAGAAGGCGGCGGCTGCTGCCTTAAACCCTGGTGAGCAGCTGCTGTCAATGTTGACAGTATTGAGCTGGACGGACCAGTGGTCTAAGTTAATGTAAAGCAGCTTTATAGGTCCATGTGTTCTATAACATTAAAGCATTTCAGACGAAAAAAGAAACCTCGTTAGGATGATGTACTGCTGGTATCTATTAGGAAAGTGGTGGTGGTGGTGGGTCTTCATATTTATTAACAAAAAAGAGCAACGATAACCACTCTCTTATATGTCTTTTACTGTGCCGTGCGCATTTTAGATCAGCCTAAGACCACTGGCTAATTTCTATATATATAAAAGAGAGGGACCTGGATGTAGGCCTGCCTGGAAAGCCGCATGCTTCCCCTCCTACGGATCAGGGAGAAATCGGAATCAGTTCAGATTTGAAAGGAAGTATCAAATCCACACTTCCTGAAGCACTACACGGAATTGAAACACAGGAACTGAAACACAGAAAAAATTGCTGCAGAAATGTGGAAAACTGAATTTAAGAAAAATGAGAAACTGAGAGAACTGAAATTGACAAATACTTCCCAACTCTTCTCCTCACCCTGTTACAAGCACAGGCAACAGGGCACAAAAGTAGTTGACACATACACAGCGGCAATTTACTGCTACTTAATACAGTATTGTGAACGCTCACTCCACTTCCGTAAATGGCAAGAAATTTCTAGGCCACGGTGCTTATCCAAGTCTGATTCCCTGTGGAAAGATGTCACTGGACGCTTATTAGTGTTTTGTAATCTTTGCATTTATTTACATACATATACAGGTTGAGTGTGGGTGGAGACATAGCTTAGGCACTCTAATGAAGTCACAGTCCGCTGCTCCCACTGCAGCTCTTCTGGGAGACACCTAGCACCCCAAGACACTTACAGAAACTAAACTCAGGGTATCCCCAACCAAGCTATTCGGGGTAAGGGAATCACATTTGAAAAACTACCTACACGATGTGGCTGCATTAGTGACTCCCTGCAAATCAAAATTTCAGTCAGAAAAGAAATATTGGGCTTTTACCTCTGATCTTTCTAAAAGCAGTTTCTGAGAGCAAAAACAACATAGTATGAGCAAACCATTGTTTCTAGATTTCATGGAGTTAATGGCAATAGGACAAGATTAGGAAAATAGCAGAGGCACCAAAGCATAGAAATAAAGGAGCACCTTTGATTTGAAATATAATAATTTAATAATTAATAATAATTTATTATTTATACCCCGCCCATCTTTAAAGGGCGCATGTACAAGTGGGTCCGAGTGGTGTGTGTGTGTATGGTTTTTCTTTTGGCCCTGCTAGGAAAAACCACTGTTTACCTCTGAAATGGAACAAATGTCAATTTGGTTTTCTGTGGATTGACATTTGTTCTGATTCAGTGATAAACAACGGGGTTTTCCGAGGAAAGCGGCATGAAAAAAAAAGCTGCTTGGACCCACGTCTGAAAAGCAGAGACCTGTGCCTGCAAATTGTGGCACAAATGAAAGTCTGGATTTTCAACTGAGGCAATTGATAGTGGCCTGTTTGGGAAGGAAATCTCGTTAATCCAAGCGACATGCTCATAAAAGTTTTAAATATATATGTCACCTTAGAAATTGTTTCATTAGACTTAGGAGGTGTAAAGAGAAATAGGAAATATTGCGAATGTGCCTAATACTATGGTGTTGCCCAAAATATCATTTGATGAATGAGCAAAGACTTCATAGAAGGTCTGAATAGTTCCTTAACCACCTCAGAATTTGAAATTGGGGGAGGGGACATGAAGCAGTTTGCAGACTTGGGAGGCAGAGATGGAAGTTTTTATAGCTGGAGTTGGCTATATCCTTGGGGTGCAGTTGCTCTTTAAAAATCTGAAACAGGATTAGCAGTTGTGGTTCTGGTTTTTAGAAGCCCAGTTACAATAGGTTCTGCTTTTATAATTTTAAATACAAATATTTCAAAGGCACTTTTAAGTCTCTGGTGTACCCTCTCATTCAAAGGAAGTTATGTACAACTGCCCCTGCCCTGGATTTATTTCAGTGTTGGAAAGTGGGGAGCAGCATATATAAGCAAATTAAATTTTTACTATTGGCCTCCACAGGTAAAGTCACTCTGGTACAGTATCCTTCACCACATGCCCTGCCCTATGAATTTAGGTGAGTAGTGAGCATGCCTTCTCAGCCATGGTACCCCTCTCCTTTGGACTGTTCTGCCCCAGGAGACTCACTCATCTCTTCCTAGGCCCTACACCTCAATGCTCCACTTCTGCACTATCAAGTGTCCTGCTGAGGTATACTTGACTACTCCTTAGCCCTTTATTGTCTCCAGACTTTGAAGTGGTAGCCAAGTGTAAGTTAACTGTTACCCCGGTAGTATTGCTCTCCTGCCTGCCTCTCTTCTCTGACTTTGCTGCTATTCTTTACCATTCTGAATACTACTGGGAAGCTAAGCAAGCTTGTCAAGGATCAGAACCATTGTAGATGGTGGAAAGGCAGAGAACGGGGCATGGAAGGAAGAAAAATATTTCTTCCACTTTCTCCCACACACTGATTTCTGGCTACCTTTTCTGCAGGGCAGAAAGCCAGAAAGGAACAGTTTGATCATCAGCCACACCTTGAATTGTTCCAGAGGATAAGGCAGGCTACAGCAAACACACAAAAGAGTTTTATGGCACACTAAAGACAGACTTACTGTGGCTTAAGCCTTTATGCACAAGAGACCACTTCTTCAGATACATAAAAGAGTTGTCCTCAGTGTGCAGGTATGGAACTGAGTATGTTTAGTCTGGAGAGAATTAAGCAGAGACATGAGAGTTGATTTCAAATATCCAAAAGGCTGTCGCACAGTAGAAAGAGCAAACCTGTTCTCTGTTGTTCCAGAGGATAGGGTAGAACTAATGGACCGAAATCGCAAAGAGGCAGCTTTCGGCAAGTCATTAGGAGAAATGGCTTAACAGTAGGAGCTGTCTGGCAGTGAAACAGATGGGCTTGGTGGACTCACCTTCACTAGATGAACTTGAGTAAAGACAGCATGATCATTTATCAGGGCTCCTGTTGTTGCATGGATAGAGCAAGGTGCTGATAATGTCAAGGTCACAGTTTTGATCCAACTTATGTTGCAGTTGCATATTCCTGCATTGCAGGGTGTTGGACTAGATGATTCTCAGGGTCCCTTCCAACTCTTCAGATTCTTTCCCTGGCCTTTGACAACTGAGGCATCCAGCACTGAGCAGGGCACTGGACTAGAACACCTCCAAAGTACTTTCTAAGTTTCTCTACTTTTATCACACACGCAAAGGAAGGAAGGAAAATCCAGCTAAGGAAATGCAGGTCCTTAAAAACTTTTACCACAATACGTTTTTTCTGTCTGTCTCGAACTAGCAGCCTTGTACCTGGTGTTGCTTGGGAATTCTAAGAACACTGCTTCCCACCCCCCACCCCGAAATCAGCGGTGTTTTGAAATCAGTGGTTAAAATCAGTGACAGTGCAATTTCAAAATGTTCAGTCCATCATAACAGCATCTAACTGTATCCAAACATGGACAAAAACCTGCTCCTTGATCTCAGGAACCATGCAAAGTTTGGTTATGATATCTTAAGAGGTGTCCAAACAGACAAACAACTTTCCAAAATATGTAACAGAATATATAATAGATTGTGGGGATCTAGGCAGCAGCCTGCTGTAAGATGAAAGTGGCTCTGGCCTTGAAAATCTGTTACAGAAGGTACCAGATATCTCCTTTCAGGTTAGGAATTCAGCTGCCCAGCCTCAGAAAGTGGTAGTTTGCATGCCTGTACCATTTGGCGACCTGTTACCAACTTTCCCTCAGTATTGTTTCATTCTGCAAACCTTTCACATTTAACAATATATATGTACATTTAAGTTTTCCAACCTGTGTGGTCTCTGTTATGCAAAAGTATACAACTACCAGGATAGCTTAAAAAATAAAAACCCAAGAAAGGGAGCAAGCAACAGTGTGGCTATTCCCTGCACCCACCGCCATCTATCATATGTGAACTAGGGATCATGCTTTAGTGTTCTCTCCTTTGAGCATGCTTTTACTGATCATCTAGATAAGCAGTTACAGAAGAAGCAGGTGTGTGGTGTTTCGGCAGAGGAAGCACTCAGGAAAAAAGCTGATGCAAGGAGTTTCTTTTCTGATGTCAGCATAGCAGGACCAGAAGTGAAGAGAACAGAAACAGCTTTGCTCAGTGTTGTTTTAGCTGAAAATGAGAAATGTGGTTTTATAAGGCCAATTGTAGCTCCCACCTGTAATGAGGTAGAAAGCAAGTTCAGCTTCATTTCTTGAGAAGAGATAAAGTAAGTCCAAACAAAATACATCTATAGTGGCTGTTTCCTACATGAATCATGGAAACTGTAGTTCAACTCCTCCCCAGCTGCAACGCCC